TGAAATACCCCAAGATCCTTGCTACTTATAGAAAAGTCAATGGAGAAAGTACCAGAGTGGATCAGAAATGGGTTACATTCTGTTAGGCAGAATAGCCTTTCCAGGAGGGACATTCATTACTCACCCACTGAAGATTTTAACAGGCAGATAAAGGGCAAATCTGATCAGGCTAAGAAGGCCTAGATCTGAGCATATGCTCAGGGATGACAGAGTAGAAACTAAAGATCTTCAACAACCTTTTAAAAACAAACTTTAAAAAAAATACTTAAAAAATAATAGTGTTCGTATTATATAACAATTTTCTTTTTCTTTCTTTTTTTTTTTTTTTGAGACAGGGTCTCGTTCTGTCACCCAGGCTGGAGTACAACAGAACGACCAGGGCTCACTGCAGCCTCGACCTCCCAGGCTCAAGTGATTGCTCCAGCTCAGTCTTCCGAGCAGTTGAGTCTACAGGCACGCATCACCATGCCCAGTTAGTTTTTTTATTTTTTGTAGAGATGGGGTCTTGCTATGTTTCCAGGGCTGGTCTTGAACTCCTGGGTTCAAGCAATCCTCCCGCATCAGCCTCCCAAAATGCTGGGATTATGGGTGTGAGCCACCATGCCCAGCCAGCAATTATCTAAGAGCAGTGCACAAGGCTTCAGAGAGTCTGCAAAATGTGTGTATTTTTAAGATAGGACAATTTTTTTAAAAAAAAAAAGATGCACACTCGGGCTGGGCACGGTGGCTCAAGCCTGTAATCCCAGCACTTTGGGAGGCTGAGGTGGGTGGATCACGAGGTCAAGAGATCAAGACCATCCTGGTCAACATGGTGAAACCCCGTCTCTACTAAAAATATAAAAAATTAGCTGGGCATGGTGGCTTGTGCCTGTAATCCCAGCTACTCAGGAGGCTGAGGCAGGAGAACTGCCTGAAACCAGGAGGTGGAGGTTGCGGTGAGCCGAGATAGTGCCATTGCACTCCACCCTAGGTAAAGAGTGAAACTCTGTCTCAAAAAAAAAAAAAAGATGCACACTCAAACATGTTCCAGGCCAAATGCTAAGACAATGAAGCCTGCCAGCACACACAACTTTGTATTGCTAGGACAGCTCAGTATTATGTTGTCTTCAGAACAGAGTTTGTCCTCCCATCTCTGATTAATTAAAGTGACTACACAGCATTGCTGTTCGGGAAAAGTCACCCTGACAATGGCCATGTGTATCATGCTGGTCTCACTGTTGTGTAACCAAATAGAGAAAAACAAATGAGCCATTGAAGTGCTCTAAGTCACCTTCTTAGGTGTCTTAGAGCTAAGTGACACTGTCTGTCACTCGTAGCTCTGACTGCATATCAGAATTCATGGGAATATGCCCACCATTCACATTTAGCCCCACAAGTAAAGATTATCCATTTCGAACTTTCAAAACTGTTACTGTTACCTGTCACACATTTTGGGGCTCTATGAAACAGTCCATTAGGAAAAGGGGCTTTAATATTCAAAAATCAAAAATGTTTGAAAACCACTGAACCAGGGTATACTAAAGGTCTTAAGTATCAGGCACCCTTGAATCCCAGAGGTTACTATGAGGCCTATTCAAAAAGATAAAGACTCTCTCTCAGCCTAAAATGTGTGTATGTGTGTGTGTGTGTATGTACACGCATGTGTGCACTGGTGGTGCAGGGGAGCGGTTAGTCAGCCAGCCTAGATGGTACTATTATGTTTCAAAAACAATTTCTTTTTTTGTTTCACTTCTCAGCTATAAATATAAATCCCCATAGCTAAGGCCCTATAGGGAAAGAGCATTTGACTGGGTGCCTTGGGTTCAAATCAGAATCTGATGACTTATTTAATGGTTCTACAACCATGAACAAAATCATATCTTCGTAATTTTGTTTTCCCAAATAAATGACTTGAGATAACCTTATTAGAGGTGAGCTGGTACTGTGAAAACACTCCAGAAACTTTAAATCACTACTCAGCTGTACACAGCTGCTTCAGCCCCACAGAGTTGCTTTAGTTCTATGAACAAAAAGAGTATGACTGTGGCATATCCATAGCATGGAATACTACTGGACAATAAGAATAAATGAGTACTGAAACACACAACATGGATGAATCTCAAGGCCATTATACAGAGTAAAAAGGGCATCTCGCAAAAGATACACTCCATGTGATTCCACTAATCAAGAATCATAAATTACATAATTATAGAGGGTTAGAACAGTTTAGTGTTTCCAGGGTTAGGGATAAGTATGTCTATAAAGGGTAAGATGAGGGAATCTCATCTTAATTGTGGGAGTGGTTACACAAGGCTATACTTGTGATGAAAGCGCGCAGAATTAGATGAACACACAGAGTGTGTGTAGATCACTGGTAAAATCTGAATAACCTCTACTGATTGTGCAAATGTCAACTGGTCTTTGTAGTTTTGATATCCTACTGAGGGGTTTATGGGCTGTTGGCATGGAAGGAAGACCGGCCAAGAAATTCATGGGACTTTCCTATACATTTCTTTGCAACCTCCTGTGAATCTGTAATTATTTTAAAATAAAAGTGTTTGTTTTTTTAAAAGCCCTGGAGAAAATAAAAGGCAAAAAAACAAGTACGTTTACTCACTCTCTAGTCTTTCTGAAAGTTTAAAGAACTATGACAAAGTCCCAGTGTTTCAAGAAATAAAAGGAAAGGAGACTGTTGAGTACAAAGACAACAAATTTAAAGACGAGAGGCAAAAACGCAACTGTATATTAAGTAAAGATCAAAAGTGAATTTTAAAAATCCATGCCATGCAGACTCCAAAGTCAGGAGTTCAAGATCAATCAGCCTGGCCAATATGGTGAAACCCCATCTCTACTAAAAATACAAAAATTAGCTAGGCGTGGTGGCGGGCATCTCTAGTCCCAGCTACTTGGGAGGCTGAGGCAGGAGAATCACTTGAACCTGGGAGGTGGAGATCACACCACTGCATTCCAGCCTGGGTGACAGAGCGAGAATCCGTCTCAAGAAAAAAAGAAAAATTACCACAACAAAAATATTTTGCCAGGCATGATGGCTCAGTAATCCCAGCACTTTGGGGAGGCCAAAGCAGGAGGATCACCTGAGGTCAGGAGTCTGAGACTAGCCTGACCAACAAGGAGAAACCCTGTCTCTACCAAAAATACCAAAATTAGCTGGGTGTGGGGGCACATGCCTATAAATTCAGCTACTCAGCAGGCTGAGGCAGAAGAATCGCTTGAACCCAGGAGACAGAGGTTGCAGTGAGCCAAGATCGTGTCACTGCACTCCAGCTTGGGAAACAAGAGCAAAACTGTCTTGGGGGGAAAAAAAAAACCACCAAAAATTCAGGCCATGCCAACCTACAATACTAAAAGGGCAAGGAAACAATACTCTAACACAGAAAGCAAGCCGAAGGGACCGGGCCTGTTTCTTAAAATCTCTCAACAGGCTCTACAGACTCTTACTGGACGGTGGGCAGCCACCCCCTTTACTGGGAATAACCCCTGAGCCCCAACTCACAAAATAACACAGGTGGGCCCCAGGCCGTCTTTTTGTCCCTGTCCCTACTCTGTAAGTTCTACCACCACCAGACTAGATAACTAGATGAGGCGGTGAGCATCTGACCCATAACAAACTTCTTTCCCTTCTGGCCACAGGTAACTGGTTCCAAAGGCTAATATTTGATCTAAATTTGGCTGGAATTCCTTACTCAGAAATTTAGAATTGGGACTAAGATTCTGACCTTGATCAAGCTAGTCTCTTGAACACAAAAACATAAAATTGAGGAGAGGCCGAAGGTGACCATTTTGTATTTTCTAAGAAAATAAGCAAGGAGCAAAATCAAAAAGAATCAAAAGGACTCCAGAGAAGCAGGAAACAAGGCAGACCAAGTCCCTCAAGATGGAATTCTAGGTTCCGACCCTAAAGGGAACCCTGCCTCTGAGTCCTAGGACCCAGTCCATTTTCCCAGCAATATTTGTACTTGCCCTAAAAAAAATCCTAACCAATATAACCATGACTTTTTTTTTTTTTTTGAGACAGAGTCTTGCTCTGTCGCCCAGGCTGGAGTGCAGTGGCGTGATCTCGGATCACTGCAACCTCTGCCTCCTGTGTTCAAGTAATTCTCATGCCTCAGACTCCTGAGTAGCTGAGGCTACAGGCACACACCACCACACCCAGCTAATTTTTCTATTTTTAGTAGAGACGGGGTTTCACCATGTTGGCCAGGCTGGTCTCGAACTTCTGACCTCAGGTAATCCACCCACCTTGGCCTCCCTAAGTGCTGTAATTACAGGCATGAGCCACCACACCTGACATAACCATGACTTTTAAAAATTCAGGTCCCCAAGCCAGCTGGGCAGCTGTCAAGACTGTGACACTCTTAGGAGCCAGCCAGACAGCACCACTTCTCCCAGACTGTGATTCACCTGCTAGGGCAGGCAGGTGCTGGCCTGGGATGGTTTCCTCAAGCAGGTAAGAAGGTCCTACCCACCATAGGCACATCTCAGAGATGGAGATGACAGACTCAAACATCAGGAAAATAAAGAAAAAGAAACTTGTGTAATGAGAAGAAGGGTTAAAAAAAGAAAGAAAGAAAAAGAAACACAGACGTTATAAAGCCAGGCTGCATGACTTTGGACCATAAAAAGAAATTTACATCAAAGAGAAGATAAGAGTCCATGGGAAAATTAAACTGCCTCTCCAAAGATTTCAGTCCCTGCTGCTCAACTTCTCACTTTATGACCACAGGCAAAACCCTTCCCATTTCCAGGGTCCCAGTTGCCTCAATCAGCGCATGAGGTTTAGACTCAGTGATCCATAAAGTCCTCTCTTTATTCCATCAGTGGACTATGTATGGTAGCCTGGACCTCTGAGGAAGCTAAACCAAAAAGCAAAGTTCAGTCTGCTGCTGTTCATACTGTGTATCTGGGGCTCTAATACGACTTGCCATAGTTGGTGGCCTCAAAATTCCCTCCAAGAACCAGTTTGTGCTTCTCTAGGCCTGTTTCCTGGAAGTTCTGCCTACCTGAATCATGAAGTCATTTTCTTCCTGGACCTCACAGATGCAACGGACCACCTCAAGGTCATAGCGGTCATCCCCATCAAGTTCCTCTTCTGGATTGGTGGTCACATCCACATCTTGGCCGTACTCATCATCGCTCCAGAGAAAGCTCTCAGAAGAGGACTCACTCAAATTATCCTCCTCTATGAGGAAAGGGAAAACAAGAGTTACTGTTTTAAGTTATAAAATTTAACAACCTCTGATTGCCAAGAATGAAAAACGACCTTATAGGCCAGGCGCAGTGATTCACGCCTGTAATCCCAGCACTTTGGGAGGCTGAGGCAGGCAGACCACTTGAGGTCAGGAGTTTGAGACCAGCCTGACAAACATGGAGAAACCCTGTCTCTACTAAAAACACAAAATTAGCCGGGCATGGTGGCACACACTTGAAATCCCAGCTACTCGGAAGGTTGAAGCAGAAGAATCACTTGAACCCAGGAGGCGGAGGTTGCGGTGAGCCAAGATTGCACCACTGTACTCCAACCTGGGCAACAAAAGCAAAACTCCATCTTAAAAAAAAAAAAAATGACCTTATGGTCCCACTCCTTCATGAACATTCACAGGGCAAGGAAACAAGGATGCCAATCTGTCCTTGGGTCTGTAATTCAGTAACAGCCCAAATGAAGCACCCTGCCTGGCAGTGAACTCAACTCCATTTCCTCATTCCACTAAGAGAACGAGGCCCAAGGGCAGTGGCCGCTCAAGATCACAGAACTGTGTGGCAGAGGAGATACAACTCCCCATGAACCACACAGACCACCGTTCCTGACAATTCTAACATGTTCTTCAGCCTCACCCCATCCAGCCAGGACATGGCTTACAGTCTGTCTATATCCAGAGCTACCTTTAAAACTCTGTAAACAAAGGCTGGTTCATGTCTCTAATACCAGAATTTTAGGAGGCCGAAGGGGGAGGATTGCTTGAGCTCAGGAGTTCAAGTCAAGCCTGGGCAACATGGTGAAACCCTGTCTCCAGTAAAAGAAAAAAAAATTATCTGGGCATGATGGTGTATGCCTATAGTCCCAGCTACTCAGGAGGCTGAGGCAGGACTATAGCTCCCTTGAGCTAGCAAGTTAGAGGCTGTAGTGAGGTATGATCACACCACTGCACTCCATCCTGGGTGACAGAGTAAGACTTTGTCTCAAAAAACAAACAGGCCATGCACAGTGACTCACGCCTGTAATCTCAGCACTTTAGGAAGCCAAAGTGGGCGGATCACTTGAGCCCAGGAGTTTGAGACCAGCTTGGCAAACATTGGCAAAACCCTGTCTCTCCTAAAAATACAAAAAGTTAGCTGGGTGTGGTGGTGTGCGCCTGTAATCTCAGCTACTGGGGAGGCTGAGGCAGGAGAATCACTTGAATTAGGAGGCAGAAGTTGCAGTGAGCCAAGATCATGCAACTGCACTCCAGCCTGGGTGACTCCGTCTCAAAAATGAAAAACAAAAACTCTGTAGACAGTGAGGAATGAGGAAGGAGAAGATTCCAGAAATAATCAGAGCCAGAATCACTTGATGCTGAGTAGTTATCATCACAGCTTACTTTTACTAAGCACTTGTTCTGTACCAGACACTGTTCTAAGTCAGTCATAACTATTAATACTTTTATTGCACTTCAGATGTTGTATTTTTTTTTTTTTTTACAAATTGAAGATGTGTGGCAGCAACACTGAAAGTCTATTAACACCATTTTTCCAATAGCAAATACTCACTTCGTGTCTATCAGCATTTTAACCAATAAAGTATTTTTTAATTGTTATTTTATTTATTTTTGAGACAGGGTCTCATTCTGTCACCCACGCCAGTATACAGTGGCATGATCATGGCTCATTGCAGCCTTGACCTCCTGGGCTCAGGTGTTCCTCCCACCTCAGCCTCCTGAGTAGATGGGATTACAGATGCATGCCACAACAACCAGCTAACTTTTTTTATATTTTGTAGAGGCAAGGTTTGCCATGTTGCCCAGGCTGGTCTTGAACTTCTGGGCTTAAGCAATCTACCCACCTCAGCCTCCCAAAGTGTTGGGATTACAGGTGTGGAACATCATGCCCAGCTTTCGTTTTTTAAATTGTTAACACAATGAAATGTATTGCTAGTTCAAAAATTTGAACGTTACATCAAAACAAGATTGATCTAATGAACAATATGTCACATTTTTCAGAACATATGGAAGAACCGAAATAATTTTATCTCAAAGAAAGTTTTAAGAAATACAACAGACCCGCTGTGATGGCTCATGCCTGTAATCCCAGCACTCTGGGAGGCCAAGGCGCATGGATCAAGAGGTCAGGAGTTCGAGACCAGCCTGACCAACACGGTGAAACCTTGTCCCTACTAAAAATGCAAAAATTAGCCAGGCGTGGTAGCATGCGCCTATAATCTCTGCTACTCAGGAGGCTGAGGCAGGAGAATTGCTTGAACCTGGAAGGCGGAGGTTGCAGTGAGCCAAGATCATGCTACTGCACTCCAGCCTGGGCAACAGAGTGACTCTGTCTCAAAAAAAGAAACATATTTTATCGACTTTTTTTTTGGAGACAGAGTAGGGCTCTGTCGCCCAGGCTTGAGTGCAGTGGTGTGATCTCTGCTCACTGTAACCTCTGTCTCCCAAGTTCAAGTGATTCTCTTGCCTCAACCTCCCAAGTAGCTGAGATTACAGGCAGACACAACCACACTCAGCTAATTTTTTGTATTTCTGTAGAGACGGAGTTTTACCATGTTGGCCAGGCTAGTCTAGAATTCCTGGGCTCAAGTGACCCACCTGCCTCAGCCTCCCAAAGTGCTGGGATTACAGACATAAGCCACCACGCCTGGCTCCAATTTTTAAATTGAATAATTTTTCTATTAAATGGAGTTCTGAATATTCTGGTTATTAATCTCTTGTTGATGAATAGTTTACAAATATTTTCTTTCATTCAGTAGGTTTTTGGTTCACTCTATTGATCATTTACTTTGCTGTGCAAAAGCTTTTCAGCTTGACGCACTCCTGCTTGTCCATTTCTGTATCTGTTGCCTATGTTTTTGAGGACTTACTCCAAAAAACTTGACATTTCTCATCAGCAATATTTTTCAATTAAGGTAAATGCATTGCTTTACATGTGCAACTGAACACTTAACAGACTACAATATAGTATAAACATAACTTTCATACACACTGGGAAAATAAAAAATATGTGTGACTAGCTTTATTTTATCGTTGTAGTCTAGAACCAAACCCATAATATCTCCCAGGTATGCCTGTATTTTCCAGTAAATGATCAGGCCAGTAGAGCCTTCTTACCTAATGCTTTCGCTTTCCCTTTTTGGTGTCCAGATTCTGGGCCATGGAGCTGCGGGCTCATATGGACACCTGGCTTGTGTGAGGACCCACACCTGGTAACAGCAAATGCCTTAGGGGGAGAAGGTTCCTGGGAGGTGTCACTGATCTCTTCACTGCAGGGGCATTCTGGAAGAACAGGATCAGGAAGGAATAAACAACCCTAGTGCATTCCATTGATTCCACAATCAATCTCATCCAACCAACAAGCCTCCTGTTCGAGCAGCACATAGGCTCAGGGACAATTCAATCAAAAAGAGGTGTGGAGAGCAGATGTAGGGGACCAAACAGTTCCTCTTCACCATCACCTCTCTCCTCTTTTTCTGGTAAGATTGTTTTTCTCAGCTAGAAGATACACTGAGAATAAAAGATAGCATCCTTTAAGTTTCAAGGTCAGAACATAAACTTTTCTAAACATTTTTGTGAGCGCTAGACACAGTTTTTAAGGAGAGAATCCTGCCGGGCTTGGTGGCTCACAACTGTAATCCCAGCACTTTGGGAGGCCGAGGCAGGTGGATCACCTCAGGCAGGCAGTTGGAGATCAGCCTGACCAACATGGAGAAACACCATCTCTACTTAAATTACAAAAAATTAGCCAGGCATGGTATGTGGCATGCCTGTAATTCCAGTTACTCAGGAGGCTGAGGCAGGAGATCGCTTGAACCTGGGAGGTAGAGGTTGTGATGAGCCCAGATCATGCCATGGGCAACGAGAGCGAAACTCTGTCTCCAAAAAAAAAAACAAAAACAAAAACCAAGGGAATCCTTTCTTGAGAGGGCTCAAAGATGTGTTTAAGAGTCATGTGTGTGAACAAATACCATCACTGACTTGCACATCTGCTTACATTTCGATGCCTTCATATGTACCAGCCTGTAGCAGGGCACACTGGCCAATGCAGCAAGTGGGAAGGCTTTTCAATGCCAGCAGGGCTTTGTAACAGCTGGGTAAGTGGGCACTTCCCCTTCCAGGGCCTACTAGATTGAACCCACAAGCCCTGGTAAAGGACTACTGGTCCTTCCTCTGCTCAGCAGAGGCCATAGTGGGAGAAAGCAACCGCCCCCCCCCCCCCCCCCCACTCATAATAAGGAAACCTAAGTGAAACCTTCAAGGGAAAAATTACCAGGTTTGGTTTTCTTTTTCTTTTTCTTTTTCTTCTTTGGCTTCACTCTCACAAACTCTTTGAATTTCTTTTCTTTATTCTTTTCCTTGTCTTTTGCAGCTAGAATTAAACACAAATGTTGGCATTTTAACATCCTGTTTTCAATGCTGGGGTGCTTATTCTTTTCTTAATTAAGCATGTCCAGTGGGCCTGGCGCTGCCTGGGGAGTCTGGAGCAGGGTGCCTGTAGCACGGCCACACCTCCAACACTTAGCCTTTAGCTCCAGCTCAGCACACTCAGGCCCACTGCCCGTCATTGTAAATGGTTATTGAAACATGCCATTTCACACTTTGACAGCAGAGTTGAGTAAGAGGCCAGAGACCTTATGTTCTCTAAGGTTAAAAATATTTATTATCTGGCCCTTTAGAGACAAGTTTGGAAAACTCTAAACTATCCATAAGGTGCTATCAAGAGCCACAGTGCATCCACACCTAGCTCCAAAACTAACAAGAGCGGCCTCCTACCTGGAAAAGCCTGATTTTTTTTTTTAATCGCCATCTCACCCAGGCTGGAGGGCAAAAAAAAAAAAAAATCAGCTCACTGCAACCACTGCCTTCTGGGTTCAAGGGATTCTCCTGTCTCAGCCTCCAGAGTAGCTGAGACTACAGACACACTCCACCAAACCCAGCCAAATTTTGTATTTTTAGTAGAGATAGGGTTTCATTATGTTGGCCAAGCTAGTTTCCAGTCCTGACCTCAGGTGATCTGCCCACCTCAGCCTCCCAAAGTACTGGGATTATAGGAGTGAGGTACTGTGCCCAGCCAGGATTTTGTTGCTTGTTTCATTCTTTAAAAAAAAAAAAGAGGTACAATTCATATAACATAAAATTATTTTTAAGTGAATAGTTCATGCCTTCCAAATACCAAAATTTACAACAAAAATCCTCAAGTTATCAGTCCTCCCTGTCCAAACTTCACCCTTCACAGATTTTTCTAATTACATTCTAAAAAGCTTCCCAGCCAGGTGCGGTGGCTCACGCCTATAATCCCAGCACTTTGGGAGGCCGAGGTGGGTGGATCACAAGGTCAAGAGATCGAGACCATCCTGGTCAACAAGGTGAAACCCCGTCTCTACTAAAAATACAAAAATTAGCTGGGCATGGTGGCGCGCGCCTGTAGTCCCAGTTACTCGGGAGGCTGAGGCAGGAGAATTGCTTGAACCCAGGAGGTGGAGGTTGCGGTGAGCCGAGATCGTGCCATTGCACTCCAGTCTGGGTAACAACAGTGAAACTCTGTCTCAAATAAATAAATAAATAAATAAATAAATAGCTTCCCACCTACCACTCTACTGAGATCAGTTTTCAAAATTAATAGCCTCACCATTGAAAAATTCAGTCATAGCCGGGCATGGTAGCTCAAACCTGTAATTCCAGCAGTTTGGGAGGCCGAGGCAGGTGGCTCACTTGAGGCCAGAAGTTCGAGAACAGCCTGGCCAACATGGTGAAACCCCATCTCTACTAAAAATAAAAATATAAAAATCAGCCAGGTGTGGTGGCAGACGTCTGTAGTCCCAGCTACTTGGGAGGCTGAGGCAGGAGAATTACTTGAACCCAGGAGGTGGAGGTTGCAGTGAGCCCAGATCAAGCCATTGCACTAAGCCTGTTCCAGTCGTTTCTTCTCCTCTTACAAAATATATTTGTGGGATTTCAAGTAATTCACCATGTCTTACTTTTTAGATGTCAACAAGAGTTTACACATACATATATCCTATGACCTTGCCATCTACTACAACTTATTGATTCAAGAGAAAGCATCACTTATGTCCACACAGAGACTTATACATGAAGGCTCATAGAGTTTTAGTTGTAACCTCCCCAAATGGAAAACTGCCCAAATGTCCATCAACAAGTGAATGTACAAATAATTCATGGTGTATCCAAACAAAGGAAAATTTTTCAGCAATAACGGTCCGAACACCAACATAAGTTAATCTCAAAGTATGCTGGGTGAAAGGAGCCAGACAAAATAATACAGGATTCCATTTCTATAATATTCTACAAAATGAAAACAAATCAGCTGGGCATGTTGGTTCATACCTGTAATCCCAGCACTTTGGGAGATAGAGGTAGGCAGACCACCTGAGGTCAGGAATTAAAGACCAGCCTGAAGAACATGGTGAAATCCCATCTCTACTAAAAATACAAAAATTAGCTGGGTATGGTGGCTTATGCCTATAATCCCAGCTACTCAGGAGGCTGAGTCAGGAGAATCACTTGAGCCCAGGAGGCAGAGGCTGCAGTGAGCTGAGATTGTACCACTTCACTCCAGCCTAGGCAATACAGTAAAACTCCGTCTTGGGGGAAAAAAAAAGAAAACAGGGGTCCAAAGTGGCTCCCACCGGAGGTCACGGCGCTCGCGAAGGCGAGGTCATCAGTTCAAGGCTAACCTGAGCAACCTCATGAGCTCAAACTGATTGGCAAAAAAAAAGAAAACAAACCTTTAAGTAACAGTAAGCAGAATAGTGGTTGCCTGGAGTTCAGGGGGAGGGGAGAGGTGGCAAGGAAAAACTGAAAAGGGGCACGAGGAAAGTTTGGAAGGGAATGAAATATGTTTGCTCTCTTAATTGTGGTGACAGTTGGGTATAAACATATGTCAAATCTCACCAATTATACCATTTAAATATGTGCTGCACATTGTACAATTAAGCCTCGATAAAGCTGTAAAGAAAAAAGACAATTCAGTTGCATTTAGTACATTCATAATGTTGTACAACCACTTTGATACAGTTCTAACAACATTTCCATCACTCCAAAGTAAAACCCTTTACCATTAAACAGTATCTCCCCTCCCTTCAGCCCCTGGCAACAACCAACCTGCATCTGACACCATGGGTTTATCTATTCTGGGTATTTCATAAATATGGAACCATACAATAGGTGACCCTTTGTGTCTGGTTTCCTTCATTTAGTATAATGTTTTCAAGGACATCAGGATTTTAAAAACGCTTTCCAACTTATTCTGATATGGAATCAAGATATCCACAAAGCAGGTGTGGGCAGGGTAGGCAATCAGATTCCATTTTAACTAAGCACTTGTGTGCAAGGAAACCACAAATACCTCATTTAATCCTTACAACAACTTGGGTGTATATCATTCCCATTTTACCGGCAGGGAAACTGAAGCTTAGAGAGGTGAAATCCCCCACCTGACATCATATAGCTATTTAAAAGCTAACTGGTCTGACTCTCCAGCACCAATGTCTGCACTGCAACCCAGGCCCCTCTCCCAAATGAGCACTCAGGAACCATCAGAAAGGAATGGTGGGCTGTGCCTACTGGCTGGCAAGCCTGGACTCTATAGGCAGAGTTGATCTACTGGCTAGAGAACATAGGACTTTAAGGGTATTTGAGCTCCGTAACTGTTAAAGTATCCTGCAACTAGGGAAGAAAGTCAACAAACATGAAAGCTAGGAGAGAACTTAGACCAATTTGTAAAAACCAAGAAACAAGACCCAAAGAAAGCAGATTAGTAAAACATGGTCAGATATCTTCTAAATTTCAAAAAAGCTATGAATAACTTTTACTTTTCATTGATCCTGGGAACAGAGTCTTCCCCAAACATAAAAACAAAACTCATTTTTACACAGTTTCTTGGCTACCACCGTATTATTAGCCATGGTTTCAATTCTAGTCAACAAATATTCATACAGATACTATGTCCCAGGCACATTCTGGGGAGGAAGGACATGGCAATGAACAAGGCAGATAGCAACACCCCCTTGTTCCTCACAGAGCTACATTCTATTCAGTTGGTACAAAAGTAATTGCTGTTTTTGCCACAGAAAGGCACAGCAAAACCAAAATTACTTTTGCACCAACCTAAAGGGCTGATGGGGCTGCAAACTATGAATAGGAGGGCATTTTCGCAAATGGATGAAGAACTTCTTTACAGCTAACTTCATACTTAATGGTAAGAAATTGGATGCTTTCCCTTTAAGATCAGGAACAAAGCAAGGTGCTGCTCTCACTACTCCTATTCAACATTTTACTGGAAATCCTAGCGAATGCAGTAAGCCAGAAAAGGAAATAAAAGCTCTACAGATTGAAAAGGAACAAATAACATTATCTTTGTTTACAGATGATCTGACTGTCTGCGTAGAAAATCCCAAAGAATTGACCAAAACAAAAACTGCCAAACAGCACTTACGGCAAGGTTACAAGACACCAGGTTAATATATAAGTCTATTGCCTTTCTATATACCAGCAATGAACAACTAGAATTTGAAATCAAGAAATAGCAAGGAGATCTGTATGGCTCCAATGAAACTGAAATTAGAATTAGGTTGAGTGAGGGAGAGAAGCAGATGGAGGCTAAAAGCAGATCATGATGAAGGGCCCAGTGAGGAAGCTGGGTTTTACTATGAGTGACTTAGGGAGCCACTGGAAGGATCTCAGCAAAGGAGGGATATTACCTGATATACCTTCACCCACATCCCCCCACACAAACTTCTGCCTGATCCAGTTTTTTATTTGTAAATTCAGGTTTTAGTGACCTCCAACGAAAGTAATTATACCCCTCACCTTAGTGAAATGCTAACAGAATTCACCCTCAGGGGCACAACTGGCTGAAGCAACAACATAATCTAGATCCTAAATCCTTGAGACAGGGCGAGATGTAAAGGAAAAACCGCCCAATGCTAGCCCATACCTGGTTATCTGGCTAAAGATGGTGGTCATTTGTAAACTCCAGTGGCAGAACTTGAAGACCCCAGAGAAGACACAGAGAAATGCCCAGAAAGGACTGAGCTAAGCCAGGTGAGTCTTTGAGGAACAGCAGTAGACAAGGCAACAATAGGCAGAAACCCTCAGACTGCCATGGGCACAGGACGTCTCCTGCAGGGAGGCACTCCTATTTCCCACTCCAGGGCCTGGGACAGGGCACCCTTCCCAGGAATCATAAAAGACAGCAGAGCCTCAAGATGAGAGTAAGGGCTTCACAACAGATTCAAATCATGGCTCCACCACCTGCTAGAACTGTAAATAATGGTTCGAGTTAATCCATCTAATCTATATCTTAGTTTCCAATCTATAAATTAGACATTATAGACATCAAATTATAAA